GTACTGGAAGTGGACTGTAGCCCACAGACAATTTGTTGTTATTCCATTCTGTTTGGTTGACTGCTGCATTTGCACTTTTATAAATATTTGTTAATAAAAGTTGTTAATATTATACATGTTTTGTTGTTAATTTTCAGTATTCTTAGGCCTATGTAATGTTTGCTATTCTGTTTCTGAATGGTATAGGCACAAGGCGACATTTTGGCGACTCCCTCTGAGCCCTTTAAAGTAATTTTAATTAGTAATACCGTATACCCCAGGAAAATGTGGGGAAGGTTTAACTGTAACAAAATTTGGATACCACCCAACTCTAGTGAACACTGTCCCCTCCATCAAACCTGTTAAAGAACAGGTTGAAGTTGTTGGCTTTGTACACACCACCATAACCTAGCTATTCTTCTTTGCATAGCCTGTGATGTTCCCCATTCCCTTCCACACCTCTCTGATGTTGTTCTGCTGCAGCTTACTCTCCACCTTTCTTCTGTAGTCCAGCTTTGCAACAACAGTCTCCTCTTCAGCTCATGCTGAAGTTGAACCTCCCTGAACTTCTCCTTGTCCCCTTTCTTGAATGCCAGCCTTTCTGGTTGAAGAGCTGCTTGATATTATTGTTCACCCAGGGTTTATTATTGGGGAAGCAGCCTACAGTCTTAACTGGCATCACAGTGTCCCTACAGAAGTTTATATATTCTGTTAGAATGTCCACCCTCCTGTCCATGTTCATGTTGTTGTCCTGTGGATCCAGTAGTACAGTCCAGTTGGTACATTCAAAACATTTGTCCCTTAGAGACTCACTGGTCTCTGGGGACCACTTCCTGACTGAGCGGGTGGTAACAGGCAACTTTAATACACAGGGTTTGTATGTAGGCTAGAGAGAGACCAGATTATAATCTGATCTGCCAAGAGGTGGTAGGGCAGAGGCACTATAGGTGTCCTTGGCATTTCCATAAAACAAATCTTGTGTCTCATTCTCCCTGGTGGGACAGTTCGCATACTGAACAGACTCAGTCAAACGGAAGAAGACAGTAGTGTTGTTAAAATCCCCCCGTTATTGCAATGAATACACTAGGATGTTGGGTCTGAATCCTAGCAACAGTTTGATAGATGGCGTCACATGCCACTGCCATTGCTGCCCGCAGTGGAATATAAACAATAATGGCAACAACGTGTGAAAACTCCCGTGGTACATAATACAGTCTAAGACCGACTGCCAAAAGTTCAATATCCTGGCCTGTCCTGACCTTCACAGTGACATGTCCAGGATGACACCTTTTATTGTTCCCAAGCAGGATCAATCCCTCACCTCTGTTTTTGCTGCTCACCTTCGTGTCCCTGTCAGCTTGCACAGTAGAGATGCCAGGAAGGTTCACACAGGAGACATTTGTCATTCAGCCCCGTCTCTGTGGAACACATGACACTGAACTCCCTGTAGAGTCGTCGGCTCCTCACCAGTGCCAGCAGCTCGTCACACTTGTTGGATAGCGAGTTGACATTCCCCATAATGACCAACGGCAGGAAAGGCTTGTATCTCCACCTCCTAGCCTTTAGTTTAGCTCCTGCTCTGCAGCCTCTGAACAGCTTCCTCGGCTCAGCCGGTATTGGGTGTCTAACTACGTAAGGGATTCCTCTCAGATCTTTACTCATCACATTGGAAAAATTAACAATCATTAACAAAGAAAAAAAACACACTCAAAAACAGGAGCTACTCAGACTTGCTGCCACTCTAACCGGCGTGTCTTTAAAAAAAACAAAACAAAAAAAAACAAAACAAAGAACAACAAAAAACAAAACGGCTCATCTTGTCGGGTTAACATTGAGTGCAGAAAAGAAACAAAATCGTCACCACTTTCACAAAAATTAAGCCAGCCATGGAATTATAATTCAGCCACCAGTCAGTACTTGAAGTGACTGTGTAAAGTAGGCGGTGTTCTCCTTTTACCAAACAATGCATACTTCTCAGTTATCCGATAATAAATCACACTGATAGTTTGCCAAACCATTTGTACGATTATAGCCCTCCCTGGAATTTATCTGGGTGTATAAGGCTAATATGGCAATGTTGTAAATCAGTGAGTAAAACTCACTGGCATTCAGTGGCAAAATTATTTAAATGATTTTTACATTTGATATCTAAAACAGAGATTCTTGTTGGGTTCTTAGACAGTTTATTTACTTTCCAGAAAATACTCTATGGTACATATTAGGTCTAGTCAAATATATCGATACTATATCTATCCTGATATGAGACTAGATATTGTCTTAGATTTTGGATATCGTAATATGGTAAGTGTTGTCTCCTCCTGGTTTTAAAGGCTGCACTACAATAAAGTGATATAATTTTCTGAACTTACCAGACTGTTCTAGCCATTCCATTATTTGCCCTTACCCACTTAGACCGGTTACACAGAAAGCTTTTAGCATTTGGAAGAGGCTTTTTGTAATTGTTTTTAATGAAAATGAAGCTTTTTGCTTGCTGTTGCTATGTGCCTTGCCTGTCTGTGCGCCAGGTGCCAGGCATTTTTGCTGGAGTGCTCTGAACTCCTCAAGTTGAAAAATCTTCAACTCAGAGGGGAAAATCGCCTCACATCATCACTTTTTTCCCATTGTTCAATTGGATGATTTGAGAGGCCTGCTGTGGTGGTCATGACAACAAGTCTACAGTTGGTAAACAATGGAGGAGAAACTGACAGTGCTCAGCTGCTCGGCAGGACCAACGGACTGCCTGTAGTTAGTATTCATGTTTGTTATACTAGGCCCAACGATAGACAGCAGGTTGTAAGACTGCCCCCGAGTCATCCTAAAATATGCCTGGAAACAGCCATCATGAAGGAGAAGCTCCTGGATCAACTGGTGGTACTCCCCACGATCCACCCAGCAAACTATTTGCTGACAGCCTCTCACCCTCAACCAGAGCGACAGCAAATATCCTCTGCCTTTTAGGAACTAGCTACTAATTATGTGAAATAAATAAATGATATCACAATATAAAATTAGACACCCTGGATAGAAGATTATTATATTATTATAATTATTTTCACCACCAACCTCGCCAAATACAGTCACATTTAACTTTGTCCTAATGCAAGTAGCCGTGCAGGGATTTGTTATTAAATTTTATATTTGGAAATGACTTAAGTCAGGAAACAGTTGATATTTTGTTCAAACCTGTTGGCAGTGTTGGGCAAGCTACTTGGAAAGTGTAGTGTGCTAAGCTACTAGTTACTCTAATATTAAATGAAGCTTCACTACATCAAAGCTATCACCCTCAGAAATGTAGCAAGCTAAGCTACAGCAAAATGAAAGTAACTAGTGCAACTACATCCAAGCATTTTACTAAATTGAACCAACTTTGTGCCAAGTCAGTGTTATCTTACTGATGAATAAAACTGTCAGTCAAACAGATAGGCAGGTAAAAAAGTTAAGTTCAATTGTTTATTGTGAGCTGAACAATGAGCTGCACTAACTCCCAACACGACTCAAACTACAACAGCAAGAATGAAGACCTGCTTCAAACAGTCACAACATGGTCAAAAACGTACATGTGTGTATGTATGTGTATGTACACTGCAAAAACTCAAAATCTTACCAATAATATTTATTTCTAGTCAAAACAAATCTCATTACAATTGAAATAAGACTCATCACCTAAAAAGTAACTTGTTTTTAGACAATTTTCACTTGAAATAAGCAGAAAAAAAATCTGTCCTGTCCAAGTTTTTTTTTCTTATTGCAAGCAAAAAAAAAACAAAACCTTGCTCCATGGGCAGATTTTCATACTTATTTCAAGTGAAAATTTGTTTGAAACAAGTAGTTTTTTTAAGTGTAAAGAGATTTGATTTGACTAGAAATGAGGCTAGTAAACACATTTTTGTAAACACATTTTATAGTGAGCAGCATACACATGTCCCCTACAAATCCCAACTGTGTTTACAAAGATTGAATAAACGAGACGGACGCAAAGGAAATGGAGGCTGCGCATTGACCCTTTTGCCTCTGTCTGCAGGAACGAATAAAAATCCCATTCATGACGGGGTCAAATGGATTATGTGCATAATTAACCACAAAACAAGCAAATACTTCATCTTAATGACAGATAACACTCATTATGCTTCAGCTGAATCCTCTAGGCAAATGACCATGTTGAATTGAAATTAGTTTATCACGTTAAATGTCCGAAATTGTATGAAATTGCTCCAATGCGTCAAACCAAACTTTGCGCATAATCACACAGCCTGATATGCCCTGGCAAACACGTGGGACTGCTGTACAGACCGTTGGTCTTTCTTACCCTAACCCTGGTTATTTTCTGAAAGCACAGAGCAAAGAAATGTCTTTTTTTTCTCCCCTGGTCTGCTGTCAGCAGGAGTGGCGGCTGCAGCGGGGATTTTAGCACCATGGACGACGCGTGTAAAAAGACTTGACAAGCGTCTCCTTTTAAATGTGTTTGCTGCTAGTGAAATTATACATAGGCCTAATAAATGAAGACAGTGACATACTGTCAATAAAAAACAATGAGTTGAATGTTCATTTCAAGCTTTTGTAGTACAACAAGTTTCAGAATTGTGCAAGTGCGGCCCGAGAGCGCCTGGCAGTGTTTGATGCAGGAAACTCGATATGGACTTGAAAATCAATTTCGGAGTGGGGGTCGTTCGGAACGGCAGGGTTTCGGAACGGTGGTGTTTCGGAATGGAGGGCTGTCCCCCGTCAGCTTCATGTGGAAGTGACTCTGTGTGGTAGCGGTGACAGTTTTATTTCAGTCCATAACAGAAATCCCCGCCTTGTTTGAGCTTCAGAAATGATTTTAGAAATGTAGCTTGTGTGGACGCTACCGTGCTAAGTGATCAATAAAAGAGCTTAACTACTGAGAAGTTACTTGATTCAGAAAACAGCAACGCTACCACCAAGCTACTGAGAAATGTAGTTAAACTACAAACGTCCGCTACTGTAGTGACGCTACTGCCCAACAGTGCCTGTTGGTAACATTAATTCTTGTTGTGTTGCAGTACATCATGTCGAAATCTGGTACAGCATCACATAAACCAGCCAAGAGCAAGAACACACCACCCTGTGGTTCAATCTCCAGCATCCTTAAAGGAACTCACATCGATGAAGAAGTCAAGATAGCAGTGAACCTCTGTCTGGAGAGGTTTCGCTACAGTGACGAAAATGGTATCGAATGTTTTTATTATTTTATATCTGAAAATAAAAGCAGACCTTAGCAAACATTACTTACAGTTACTGCATATCATATGACAAGGGTATGCCACTGTCATAATCACTACTCATCAAAGTGTGAGCAGGAAGGAATGAGGGTTTAGACTTGTAGAGTGTCCTAATATTTCCTCTTTCCTTTCCTGAACTGAGCAGAGATGGAATTTCCCTCCTCCTTTACCAGTACTGAGAGGGCTTTCGTTCATCGACTGGCACAGTCCCTGGGTTACATTTCTAAGAGCAAAGGGTAAGTTCCTCCACTATGACCTGTGTTCATCAATTATCTGATTATCTCTTTGAGGAATTGTATTGAAAGTATTACTAGGACTGTATGTAATTTACCAAGGCATATACTCACTAACAAAAGAGGTAGAAGGCTTTTTTTTTCTTCCAAATTTAAACTTGGTTTGTAGTTCTGTGTTAAGGGGTTAAGGTGTAGCTTAAGCTTACACACATGGCTGAAGTGTATGTTAATGGAAGAAATTTCTCTCCCCTTCTCTCTCTCAGAAAAGAACCACATCGTTTCCTCACCATCAGGAAGAAGAATGGTTTAGAGAAACCTCGGCCAACCATGCTTCTCACGGTCTCCCACAATTCCTCATATTTCATTCGCAGCTTACTTCAGAGGTTTCCCACCAATAAGGAACGTATAGACATGCAGCCCTACATCAGAAGTGGTATGTCTGTGGCTGCTAAACCTGGTAAGTGACAGCATTTGTATATAATCTAGGACTGTACAGAGAGTTTCAATGTGACAGTATAATCCACTCTATAAGTAAATAAATTAAATATTTGATGAAATGATGCTTACATCCACTGGGGTGCTGTCTACGCTTACCACCTATTGTATAAAGTATTCACATTGCTTTTATCTTTCTCCTCATTTTCCATCTTTCTTCTCTGGGATACATAAGAGAAAACTCAATAGCTACTTCTAGAGACCTCTGTGTCCGTGTCACTGTAACTTAAGTGAGATTTATACTTCTATGTTGAATCGCTGTTGTACCTACGCCGTAAGCCGAAATTTGTAGTGTTACCTTTGTTAAATGTTGTTGTTGTCCCTGGCTTCATATGAACAGAAGAAATCTTTGCTAGCCACTACGCTAATTTGTACAATGTAAAATGCCACAGGCCTGTGGCTGTGTATCCTGCGAGTTATAGTGAAGCTGGTATTTGTTCTTGTAATTTAAATTGTTGCTATTAAGCCATGTTTAATGTGTGTTTTGAGTCAACTAAACTTAACAGCACTTCACAGAAACCCCACCACCGATTAGTGTTTTGGAGGTGTAACTGCAGAGTGATGTTGTGTAATACTGCATACTGTGATACTGTGAAACTTTGTTGGCTGGTTATCGTACCATGAAAATCTTATACTGTTACAACCCAACTTTTGAGATGATGGAAGAGATCTGTTGTTCAACAATGAGTTGAACGTTCATTTCAAGCTTTTGTAGTAGGCTACAGCTTATTTCAGAATTGTGTGAGTGCGGCCGGAGAGCGGGTGGCAGTGTTTGATGCAGGAAACTCAGAGAAATATGGACTTGAAAATCAAATTCGGAGTGGGGGGGTTTCGGAACGGCGGGGTTTCGGAATGGAGGGGTTGTCCCCAATATTCGGAATAGCGGGGCCTTTAGAAAAAATGGGGAACCCCGCCATTACGAAGAATGGAGGTCTATTTTTGGAAAGGCGGGGTTTCGGAAAGGCAGGGTGTAACCTGATGAAACACAGGTGTCATTTTCAATTTTTTGTTAACAGAAATTAGGCTGATGTTTGTATTAAAATAGGCTATATATCATGAATTACTAGAAAACAAATACATTCTATGTCAAATCAAGATGTTCAGCAGCAGTGAGCACCCCCATATAGAAAGAATGGTACGACCTTGTTTCATAACCACATTTTGTGACGATTCGACGGCGAGACTGGCAGTTGAATCAGACTTCTCCGAATCGAATCACCGAATCATCGACTATTCGGGGTCACCCCTAATATTTAGTGTGTAAATATATATACACACACACACACACATATATATATATATATATATATAGTACAGGCCAAAAGTTTGGACACACCTTCTCATTCAATGCGTTTTCTTTATTTTCATGACTATTTACATTGTAGATTCTCACTGAAGGCATCAAAACTATGAATGAACACATGTGGAGTTATGTACTTAACAAAAAA